ATTAAGTTGACTGAATGATCAATGTCAAATTTAAAGCCTTAGGTGGGTATCCATTATGTGCGAAAGTTAATTTTAAAATGTTGTGTTTACCTTTTAGACGATTCAGGGCTCTCGCTTTGCTCAGATGGAGTACTGATAGTAAACGCAGAATAACGCCATACCTTGTAAAATATCCTCCGATCATTTAGGTACTAAGGCGGAAATTATAACAACCATGGACGTATTCGCGATATAAAATAAGCGTACGTCACTTATCGGAGTTTTTGAAAGTTGTCAAAGCGGTCTGTTTACTTTGTTTTCATTGGTTCACATCTGTTTTTTATTTGTGCTCATTGGTCTCATCCATCAAAACAAACCGCTCAGCTGTGTTCAAATGTTGCCGCCAGATGAACTGGCCTATTTAAATTTTAATGTGAAGTCATACAATGGAACAGTATACCCTCAAATCGCTAATTTGATGTTGCCATAAGTTATTGCATGACTCATGAATAACCATACATACATACAAATTTTGGTAAATCATTTTTATTTTGTCTGTCGTTATTAGTTGAAGAATATCAAAGTTGAGAGCACATTTATTATTTTGCCACTTCTTCCCTACGATGACATCTTCAGATTCACCATGCTATCATTATTAATGAAAATCCAACATGGCGTCCATGAGAAAAATAAAGGTAATGATGTTGGCGGAAAGAGGAAACGTCGGATAGTTAATCTGAATATGTCATCGTATAGCAGAAAAAAAGTGGCATTGTAAATGTGCTCTCAATTTCGATATTCTTCGACAAATAACGCATGAAAAAAATTTCATAAATGACCAAAATTTCTGTTTTCTCGTATATCTCGGAAATACTCGGAATTTCAACATTTTATCAGCGGCATATTTTTAGTAACATAAATGCGCAACTTTGCGCCCAATTTAACTATCTTCGTATCTCCGAATATAGTTTCCTATTATACATTCAGCAGTTTCCTCATTTTCAATTCAAAATGTTCGTAACATTGATGATGAAAATGAAACCAATCAATAGCTAATGATCTCTGATGAAATCTTGAAAACAAATATTTTCCCTGTATCTCGAATATCAGAGTCCACCTCGCCTCTCTTCCCTCGCCTGAAAGGTACTTTGCGTCAAGATTATGTGAATATAGAATGGTAACCACGCATGCACTTGCTGTGAGAGTTTTAAAATTCAAATCCTGACTAATGACACTCGATTTACACCCATCAAGAGAGTGTTCGCTTTCAGATTGAGTGCAGTTTATGATTAACTTCATTTACTCCTATAATTTCACAATTAGAGAATGTGATTGGCGAATTTAAAATTGTTTCCTAAAATTATCACCTATTATTCTTGAATCTTTGGTAGAAGTCCATATTCTTCAAAGTGGAATGAAATTTTTCAAAGGAAAGAAGGAATGCTCGAAGTCATCTCCACAAATTTCAAGGGGTTTGGTGTTGTAATTTGACCTATGTCTTGCCTACGTCATTATTTGACATTATTTTCAGTGTTTTCTAACCCAATTAGTTTAGATTTAAACACGAGCAGGCTGTTTTAGTAGCGCTTTCATATGGGCACAGGGAACCCCTTTTGTAAAAACCCGTTAATACAGGGTGTTTCACAGGTAAAGGGAAATATTTCAATGGTAGATAGGGGTCACCAAGGTGGTTCTGAAAATACCATATTTGATAGGTCTTAGAGTTTTCATAACGGAGATACAGGGCGATTTATCGATTTCGAATAATTATTCATTCGTCTATAAGTATTGAACTACCCAGTATATTTTTCTGAAATTTGGTATGGAGCTTAAACTTGGGACGTTGAATTCATTCACCTATCGGGCGAAGAGAAAATCCAGGTTCGGCTCCAGTAAAAATTCACATTTATTCGAAATATTAAAATAACACACTGTATGTAATAATTGACAGAGTTCATCAAAGGAATCGTAAAGAGGAGGAAAAACTGAACTGAACAATTTGAAGAGTACTGAAATTATGAAACCAGTGTCAATTATGATTATTCGATATATTTTAGTCAAAAAATCGCTCGAAAGAACTTACTAAGTCTCACAGTTTTTATTACGGAGATACAGGGTGAATTATCTCTTTTGAATAATTATTCACTCGTCCATAAGTATAAAACTACCTAACATTTTCTCAAATATCGTATGTAGCTTACTTGGGACGATGGATTCATTAACCTATCAGGCGGAATTATAATTCGATAATTCACCCTGTATCTCTGTTATAAAGACTATGAGACTTTTCCTGAAGCTGAACCTGTATTTTCATTCTGCCTGATAGGTCAATGAATCCATCGTCCCAAGTAAGCTCAATACCAAATTTGAGAAAATATTACTGCGATGGGTATAGTTTATTAATACTTATGGACGAGTGATAATTCACCCTGTATCTCTGTTATAAAGACTGTGAGACTAAGTAAGTTCTTTCGAACGATCATTTAACAAGAATATATCAAATAATCATAATTAAAAGTGGTTTCATATTCATATTCATTTTAATACTCTTGAAATTGACATACTTTTAGCTTCCTGTTTATGATTGTTACGATGAGAATTGGTGGCGGAAAAACAAAAAGCATCAAATCCAGTTCAGTTTTTCCTCCTCTTCACGATTCCTCTGATGAACTTTGTCAATTATTACATACAGTGTGTTATTTTAATATTTCGAATAAATGTAAATTTTTCCTGAAGCCGTACCTGGATTTTCACTTCGCCCGATAGGTGAATGCATTCAACGTCCCAAGTTTAAGCTCCATACCAAATTTTAGAGAAATATACTGGGTAGTTCTATACTTATAGACGAATGAATAATTATTCGAAATCGATAAATCGCCCTGTATTTCCGTTATGAAAACTCTAAGACCTATCAAATATGGTATTTTCAGAACCACCTTGGTGACCCATATCTACCATTGAAATATTTCCCTTTACCTGTGAAACACCCTGTATATGGGGTGTTGTCAAATTTGTTTGGCAATTACCCTTCATATACCATTTTCACAATGCGCTCTCAGGGCACGGGGCCCTTCATTTATTGAGAACCGGTTAAAAGTACTTATGAAACTCGATTTTTCGACTATGGGTATTAATCACTGAACTATAACCCTTTTGCAGGGTTATAGTTCAGTGCGTATTAATTGGCAACAATTTTACAGTTAGTAGCATCACACTTTTTCAACTACAAATAAGTAGAACTTTTAACATTCCCAATTAGCAATAAAAAAGCAATGGTCTCAAAATCGCCCCTCATGTGTTCTGAATTATTGCATGTAATACATTTGTGTAACTAATATTTATATTAATTCACACTAGAAGAAATTCGAACTGGTGAACATTTCTGAAAACAAAAGAGTTGAGTGGAAGAAAAAAATTTTCGAACAGAATTTTTAACTCTGCCTTTTGGGAAACCTTCAAAAGATTTATATTCATCATATGTTCAGTTGTATCATGGTTATGTCAATAAAAGCGAAATTATTATTTTTCTTAAGTGGGGTTCTATTTTGAGAGGCGCACCCTGTATATACCTATATTTTTATTTTTACAGGGTGTATCAAAATTCAGTATCAAGTTTCCAGGGGCCTATTTTCAAGGTCAAAATAAGACTTTTCCTGCAATCATGTGTCTGCAAACGCTTCATTACTGATCTACAGAGCGTTAAAATTTCAAAATATTTTTATCTTCCAGCACCTTGTATAAAAAGTTGAGGTTCCATAAGTTTCTTATTTTTTCAGGTAATGTTTGGAAACTTGTGATTTTGATCACAAACCAAATACGTAGCGTGTTTTGTTTTCATTGTGATAATATAGGTTCATCCCATTTGTTAAACATTTTGATTCAATTTGGCGAATTATAATTTTTTTTCTCGATAATGGTTGCAGATGCGTAAAAATTACAGGAGGCAAATAAGTTTATAAACTTGACTAAAAATTCATTTCGTATGTCAAAATTACCATCGGCGCACCACAAAAAATTTATGGATCAAAAGAGGGCTTGAACCCAGAAAAAATATTTTCCTGTAGATTCTCACAATCACTCGTCATACTGTATTATGTAAACCCTAAAACGTAACCCATGTTTTCAATTTGATCTGAATATATCTAAAACGAAAAGAGCTCAACCAAATATAAAAAAAAATCTCTTTTGAAACACCCTGTATAGATGAGAGAAAACCCCAAAAGTTTAGAGAAATGAATATTCCACCGCCTCGATTAACAGCAGACAGAATTTAATAATTTGATTGGTTAATGTATACATGAATAACTGAAATTGAACATTTCTATTGGTTGTTAGGAACGTCAAAAAATGATCGGAAAATAGTTTCAATGGTGTCAATTATTTTTCATAAATTTTGAAGCGATATTTGAGTTTTCACTTACCTTCTCATCTTTTCCCAGCTATATTATGTTGATTTTCAATGTTGTGTCTGTAACGACAGCGACCCACCCTTATCACTGAAAGCATCCTTGTGCAAGATGCACCAAAGTGGTAGGGAGATTAAAAATAACATACAGTCTTATCTACATCCTTTGTAGTACTGTTAATTTGTCCCCTTGATGAATAAAAAAAATATCACTAATATTATCGCAGATTCTCCGAGAATATTGAACTTGATAATGAAAATGTATTCAAATTAGCGGAAGCCTAGCTCTACAGGGTGGTTATAAGTATAACTGCACATAGAAGTGTGTGTTTGGTTTTTGGCTCCACGATACAATATTGCTAATGAGAGAGATACAGGGTGCCGAAGCTGAAATTTCAAATTTCATTTTCCACAATAACTGTTGTTTTTAAGTATGGATAAGTATATAAAGTGCCTACATCGTATGAATTCAACGAATAACTACACGTTCGTTTGTAATTGGTTGTGCAATATTTTCTTCACACTGGTTTCATCTCGTATAGATGAGTTATTTTTCGTGTATATTCCTTGTTGGATTAATGGAATGAGTACCTACATCTTCGATTTTTTATTTTTTGTATTGTAACAATTAAATGATCAAATAACAAAAATAACTCAATAATATACATCAAAAATAGACTTCAAGCTTTTCCTCTTCTTGATGTGGCCAAGATGTTTGAATATGTCATACTTAATATCATCCTCGTTTCCACAAAAGCTATAATAGTTATTTTCTATCCTAGAAAACGTGGCTAATGCTTCCACAAGCGCCGTTCTATTGGGCGTTCCTTTCAGGCTGCCTTTCTTATTTTGCGTAATATCTTCGTATAAGCTATCTATAGAAAATCGCTCTGTAATATTCAGGCTTCCGCCTCTCTTACGTTTTCTATCTCTTTTTGAATGTATATCCAAAGAAAATTGTTTGGATTTCTTCGAGATTTTAGACTTGGGTTTACCCTGAGATTTTTCCTCCAACTTTTTGAAATACCTGATTGCTCTGTTGAATTGGGATCTGTATCTGATTTTTGGTTCAGGTTTCATTGAAACGATATTTGTATCGTTTTCGTTTTCTTTGTTAATAATAGATTGGGAACCGAGAACTTTTGAACTGTTGTTTTTCTCAATATCCATGGTAAGCTTCATAATTTGCTTGCTTCCTCCTTCAACCCTAGATAGATTGGAAGCTGCAACAATGAAGAAAAATTGTTATTTTGTTCTGGTTTGATTGACCGTGTCCACGTGTCATACAACATATCGGATATACATTATTTTCTCAACTATGTATTTGGTGATGATCAACTGGTTTAAAATATACCAGTTTGGAAAGTCAATAAACTGTCTAGGCGTTTGGAATTTGATGAAGATTCATATACATATCATCATACGCATCATATATACAGTCTGTCCAAGATAAGGTTGAACAGCATGGGGATCTCGAAAACGGTAAGAGATACGAAGTCGGTTAAATGGGGAAAAAGTTGCGCGGACGGAATTTTTGTTTCTGCTAAATGAAATGGGTTATTGATTGAAACCAGTTGATGAGGTATTAGTGTGTTGACTAATTTTCCTTCAAAATAAATGGAACTGATGGCATTTTTCTTTGGAATTTCGAAAAAACATTGATAATGGATAGAAATAGGTCGAAACACACTCGAATCACCTTGTATAGTACATGGTTGAATTCAGAATAAAAAAACCTTTCAGAATCTGTGAAAAAGTTATCAGGACCGTATTTAAAAAACAAAAGTTGATGATGGTTCCACGAATACGAAACGTCGCATAAAAAAATCGGTATCACCATGTTAAACGTCATCAAAAGTTGCTATGAAAAAGTATTTTCAGTTTTTCTATATCTCTAATAATAACGGAGAAAAAAAAAATAAAATAAATTCCAAAAATTCACTTTTTTCGATATAACTCAAAAACTAAAAATAATTTTCAAAATTCTCGAAGGCTCTTGATATGAGCCTCCGAATGCGCAACTTTTTCCCCATTCAAGCGACTTCGTATCTCCTACCGTTTCCGAGATCCCCATGCTGTTCAACCTTATCTTGGACAGACTGTATTATGAATATATGTACAGTCAGATGCAATGAAGATGCCGCACATGGGCCAGTCACTTCTGCAGTAAGAGCGCTAATATCATCCAACCACGACATGTTCTTCGCATCAGACTATACTTACGTATAAATAAGTACCTTTATTAGAAGTACAGTCGTCTTCAGAGATAATGTCGCACATGGACGGTGTCAGCTCCCTTGATCACTGCTGCAATAAGAGCATTCATACCGTTCAACCGCGACATGTTCGCTGAAGACGACTGTACAATAAATAGTACAATGAAAATTATCAAGTAATTCTCGTTCCAACTATACTAACAGGAAAATTTCAAGATATCTTTAGTAGTCGGTATAAACATAGATTAACGACTCCCAAGACTACGTTAGATATTTCAATATTCCCAAAAATACAAGGTGTTCTTGAAATAGGTACATATTTGCCGAAGTAGATAGTCCATGCTCAAAGTGAAGGCGATTTGTTCATAGAAAAACTAATTCATCTCCACACAAACTTAATAGATTCTAATGAGGAACCAGTTTCGTGTATATGCATATATCCATCATCAGTCACATATCCCAGTAAACACGAACATCCCTGAGATGTCACATTCATGTCTCGCTATAGGTATAACAATGCAAATTACAAGAAAACATCATTGGTATTGCCAGTGCACTCTCAATCTTAGAAAACATTCGCGATATTCTTCACATTTTCTTCGATTTGATACTCAAAATGTAGGTGAATTTGTGAGGCTCCCTAACAACCAGCAGACTCACAGAAACCCCACATTCTTGTCTATTTGTGTAAAAAACCGAACCAAACAATGTTGTTGAAAGAGGAGTCGTTTAATACGTACTGTGAGTTTTATTAGGCATCACAATGTGAATCATAAAATGACCAAAAGGCTCCTAAAAAGCAGTCATTGTGATTTCAGTGAAAATCTCGTTTCGAGGCACGGGTGTGATGTGTGGCATGAATGTGATGCCCTCTAATATCTCTGGGATGAATCTGTGTTAACTGGGATTAAGTACAGCAAACAGGTGATAAAAAATATCGATATCAGAGTTAAAGGTAACTTTGAACCATTAAATGTGTTTTTTTTCTCTTGTGATCTTTGGATTATTTCACAAGGACATACCCAATTTCAACAAAATTAATGGTTGCAAGGTACCTATGCTAGGTGAATTCATAATATCTCACAACTCTGCGTATACACGAATCAGAAAAGCTTACATACCACTATCAAATTTTCTGATCTTCTCCATGACAGGAGAAGTAAATACCCCATCCTGGTCTGAAACTTTCCTTGGTTTGAGATAATTTTGAAACTGATCATTTTTCTTCATGTTCTGCGGTGATACATTCTGTTTTTTCGATCGCATTATTCTTTCTCTTGCTATCTTTTCTTTCTCGTAGTTTTGCTTCAGTAGCATTTGTTTTCGTTCTTCAATTGTGAGCATCTCGTATTCATCCAAACGACCATCTACTGATTTAAAATGTTTGGAATGTCGATGATTCAAACTTTCTGTCATCGCCAAAATATCATCCGCAGATCTATATATATCGTTTTCCACGTACATTGTTTTCGTAGTATTTGGTATATCAGGTTTTTTCCAAATTAACCGATTCCTTTCCTCTTCACTCAGTTTATTTTTTTTCAATGTATTCTTTGGAAAAAGTGATCTCGAGCTCGAACAATTTGACATATTTTCCCAGTAGGTTTTCTTTTCTTTCACTACATTCAAGGAAGGGTAATCTGATTCGAGAGATATATTCGGTAAACTGACGGTGCTGGATAGGGAAAAACTTTCATCATTTGATGTATGTACGGATCTCCTCAGACTGTCCAACACATTTAGTACGCTTAGCCCTGCTATTTGATGATTTCTCTTGTTCATTGAGACTTCTACACTTTCATTTTCCGAAAATGAAGAGTTCTTCGAGCTAGAGGTGCACTTCATAGAGCTTTGGGCAAATATCTGAAAGATAAACTGTTGATGATGACAGAAATCAGGATTGAAAATCAACTCTTAACATCAAGAGAAGTAGCAAAAAACGGTAGTGAGAGATTGTGAGAGGAAAGAAGACCGACATGAAACATTTTTAAAGCAGTTTTTGAAGGGCTTCCATGATTATGAGATCAACATCCATGAAAGCTGTACTGGATTTAGATGCACTCATGAAATGTTTATACAGGTATCTGGAGCCTGCAGGATTTTCTAGCAAATTGGATGCTGATTCAGTTAGTCTACAAACACATTCAAAGTATGATGAAATTGCCACGAATACTGAACAAAATAAAGTATTGATTTATCTTCTTCATCCTAACCATTTTTTGTATATCTCTGCTCAGTAAACGTTATGTTCTAAGTAATATCTCTGATTTGTAGGTAGGTAATAGTTTTAAAAAAAAATACAAACCTTCCTTCGTTCTGCCACAGATATTTGGCTATATTTTACTTCATGGACAATATGTTCAGAACATATTGGGGAAGTAACTTTGGTGTCGGAGGCAAGATAGGGTTTCTGGGGTTGACATGGCAAAACAGGAACTCGCTTTTCGCTGATGTCTTTTTGGCTTAATATTTCAAAGTGATTTTTCAATTTGGCATGTTCTGTACTGAGGTAATTGTTATTCAAATCTTCGGTTTTTTCGCATTCAATAATCCTCAAATTTGGTTCACGATGAGTCTTATGAAAATATTTTCTTACAGCAGCATTATTATTCATCTTGTTAGCTGCTATCTTCTTTTCGTTTTCAAGAAACTCAGCAGGAATTTTAATTTTGTTTATATTGGAACTAATATATTCGGATACGATCTGATGACCCCTTTTTTCAACATCTTCATCTAATTGTTGTCCAATATTCATTATATCATCAGTAAATATCAAATCATTCTCATGTGTGTTCTCTGTTAAATTATCACTCTTAATTATTACCGGTTTACTCAAGCTATAATTGTTATTGTTAATATTGACTTTGAATGTTAGACCCTGAGTTTGCCTGCTAACATATTCAAGTGATTTTTGTGCACTATCTATTTCAATTGGTATATGGAGTTTTTTCTCCGACATGAATTCTGACTTTTCATCTCCTGTATCTAAATTTTCATTCAAGTCTGGTGCTTCATCCACCTCATCTATAACAGGCATTTGAATTTCTACGTTATAATTTGGTTCACATGATTGACTCAGATCGTTGTGTTCTCGAAATTCTGCATCATTATCAGAATAATCATCTACTATGTCATGCTTTTCGGTGGAATCTAGTTCATCCATATCTTTATTTGTAGGAACTGAACAAACAAAATTATCACCTACACTATTTTCATTCGTTTTCGTCTGTTCTATTGTTACGTCATATTGGGTGTTATTTTCTTTTTCAGTTTCAGCGGATTGGTGTTTATTTGAACCACTTAAATTGTTGCAAGTCTCATCATCGATATCGACATTGAACATATTTTTGAAGACCTCATCATTTTTTGTAATTTCTTCAACTACTTCTCTAAAATTGAATGTTGATTTAATGGGTTCCTTCTTCTCGATTTCAGCATCTGCATCAACGTGATACTTCTCTTCTAATTCAGAGAATGATATTTTTTCATCAACTAAATCTACCATTTCCGAAATTATCTTTCGTTTTTGGTAATGTCTCAGTCCTTCGACTTTCTCTTCAATATCCATATCATCTGCTTTTGTTTCACTACTGAATATGTGAACGTTGAAAGGACAACCCTTCAAAAGCTCCCCATTGCATATCAAATTGATTTCATGCATCCCATAGTTATTTGGAATATATGAAACTTTTGCTCTATTCTTCTCTAGTGTAACTTCAATATTTATATTCTTCTGGCCCTCGTCTACTTCCTCAGAGTGTTTCAAGAACCATGAAAACTTTCTCATAAATTCACTCTTTGTTTTAGTATCATTGGAGACAGATATGTTCCAACCGTCTAGAGGTTTTTTTGCTGGGCTATTTTGGATATTTGATATCAGTGCATGTCCGAATGTACCGAAAGGTCCTTTGATATTGATTATGACACTATTTTTACTAGGTTCGGAATTTTCGAAATCGTCTGGATATACGTAGAAAACAGTTTTTTGGTGTTGCTCTCCAGAAAAAAGCCCCAAACCTCTAGCAATATAGTCTGAGCAAAATATTCTCTCGACTTCAGTATTTTCTGTGATTTTGTTAATGGATTGTTGAATTTCACACAAGTAGTTGATAAACGTCCTCTCAAAATTCGACGTGAGGTTTCCAGCCAGGTCTTCTTCATCAAAAATCTGAAAATGGGAAGAATTTTACAATCAATTTTCAATGCACTATTTTACATCCTTGAATGTTATTGAATGGCCATTCTTCGTTGATAGCGAGAGTGATGTTATGTTAGGCACAAGTTGAAACTGTGGTGGTTCCAATAAAGAGTTAAGAGGTTTCATATTAAAGTTATCAATATACATTACTAGGAGAAATGGTAGGTATATCAATTTTTCATATCGTGTGAAGTTAATCGCTTACTCTCAAGAATACTTTGGCCAATAATTAAAGTTTTGCCGTTCTGGTAAAGAGTTGTTTAACATATTTCGAGGTTGTGCTGACGAGGCCTGTCTAGTAGGTTTGACTGGTATTGCTAGTGATGGAATGATAGCAGAGATTCCTGAAGAACATTGGCACCATAGAAACAAATTCAACTGTTCCCTAAAACCTCTGTATCATTCACAAATATGAACCTTATGTGACAATTAGAAAAGGAAATGTTCAAGAAATACAACTTCATAACAAAATAATAAATAACAGCTGCTTGGACATATCGTTCCTTGGTTGAAAGTTAGGGTTCAAAGGCGCATATTATAATATGGACGTTTGCTCAATTTTCTTAAAATTTTATATGTGTCATGATCCTCATGAATTCAACTTCGCTCTATTACAAGAAGAAGAATAAAATCGCACTGGAATTAACGAAGTTATTGATGAGCAAACTTCATCGATATTGAGATCCCCCCCCCCCTTCGTCCTTCAAAAATCAGAAAAGCGAAGGGGTTCATAATCAAGTGTTAGGGGAAGGGTATTTCCCTATAGAATTCCAGAGTTGGAGTTGTTAGAGGGAAAATCATATCAAGTTGGCTTGCCAGTCGAAAGAACTCTCGAACAGATTTGATAAGGAATGATTGATTAATGAGATGCTTTCCATGGAATGTTGTATTTTCATTTTGAAACTACGACCTTGGACGACTCAGGGCTCTCGCTTAGATGGACTGCTAGAAGTATATGCAGAAACATGCCAACATCGTGAAGGATAATAAATATTCGCATCCTTCACCACAGGTCAATGAAGGTTTGTCGAACGGTGCCTTTGCTATAAAGCGGAAGTTGATTCGATGCTTTTGTGCTTACAATGACAGTTTCAAAATCTGATCGTCGTCAAATGACACTTGAATAACTCCTCAACTCTAAAAAAGTTTGTTCTCGAATTGAGTGCAGTTGGAAAGTTTTTCAACTTGAATTTTGACTACTACTAGCACCATGGGCTAGGACGGTTAATGGTGCCTATTCTCATTCAGAGATAGGTAACTTATCTCTGCCTAATTTCAGCTGACGAAAAAATTGCAAGCTGCATTATTTCACAAGAATTATCCTTCAAGATTCAGAAAGAGCAGATATTCTCAAAATCATGGAGGTTTTGAATAATTCGAAATGTTGTTTGGTTTTCCCCAGGGACCAGAGATTGCTGAGATGCAGTGACGAATTCACTTTCATAGACTAGTTGAATATGAAGTGTTTTTCTAGAGATATAGTCAGCTCTGACCTATTTTATTCTGGATGTTTTTATGGACAAGAAAGGTGGAGATCTCCGAGTGCATTGTATTGTGTAATTAGTGACTTTCATTCCAAATATACCTGGTAACCTGGTTGATTCGCTTTTTTCAATGAATATTTTTCCGGTCACTCTGATCGCCTTTTTTGTCAAGCAGCACTAGAACCAACGCGACTCAAGTCGAAATTTGTGCAGGGTTAGAGCAGCATACGTAAACAAACATCCATAGCCTGAGTGGGGATCGAACTAACTCGAACTTCACTGTAGGTTTTGAAATTGAAAATTTTTCAGAATATTCATTACACCATGTCATGAAATTTGCAATAATCTTCCGAAGATTGCAGCCCTGCTATCATCATCTTGATTCAGAAAATTTTCATAATGTATTATTTTAGTACAGTTGAGCAATTTGCAGTTCTAGTATAAAATTCCCGCCGTTTTCAAATATGAATTGGTGGTTGTTAGCAGTCTATTTTGAGCGAAGCCTAAGACTAAGACAGTGAATTTTATTGGCAGGAACTGGTGGAGTGTTTCTCCACTGAGTGTATATTTACCTCTGTTCAACAGATGAGAGTGAGAAGAAAACATATACATTGAGTGCAGAAACACTCCACTAGTTCCAGCAAATGGAATTCGTTATAACACTACGACATAATACGAAGGAGCTGAAGGGCCACCTATACTTTTAAAATTTTTTCGAATCCCGACTTTGAAGTCGGACCCCCGACTTTATTCTCGGGATACCGACTTTAAAGTCGGGGTCTCACCTGTGCAAGATGTCTCTTCATATTTTGATCCCTACCTATATCTTCAACTATACGAAGTGGAGGAAACTTCAAATATAAAAGTTGTAGGGTTTCATCTGTACACTCTTTTTGCTCCCTTTGAACAAACAAAAGCGAATCGCGAAATGAAAAAAGAGAGTATTATGGAACCTTTATTACAGAACTTTAGTGGATGCACATTCAATGTACAATAATCGACCAATAATCCCAACGTTCATTATACGTACCTACCTATATATATGTACAATAATTTTACATCCATCGGATAATCATCACAGGATCAATCGAAAACCTCCTTTACGTTTTTATATGTACACTGAATGTCAAATACTGGATCACACCTGTACGGTCATTATCGTACGTACTGGGTGAATGTTTATATTTTACAAAGAGAGAAACTCAAAGTCATTACCACAACTAGTTCATAAAATGAACGACAATGGTAGATAACGAGAGAAAAACAACTACTTTCCTGGCTATATGCCACGCAGAACATTGCATTACATCCTCCCGAAACCTATGCGATAGTTCGTATAAACGAATAAAATCGCAAGTGTTTCCTTCCTAAACGCTGAGCTGCGCTTAAGTGGTTCAGGAACGCTGACTACCTGCAGACCGGTTTCGAGCTCTTGGCTCTCATCACACTGAGAGAAACTGGATATTGAAAATATCTACCAGCTCTGATTGTAAAAACCATTATGAAGAAATTTCCTATTCCTGATCATTTTATTATTACAACAGTATTCTCTCCATTCTGTAATTATAAAAATCGATTTCTTAAATCATTTGTAATACCCTTGAATGGACATTTGCTACCATCATAACGCAGGAGTGTTATGACATTATGAGAATTTTATAAATTCCAGTCTATTTAGATTTTTTATTGACATAGCTCGTTTTGTGAATTATGCTCATTGGTGAATTCAGATAATGTTTGTCCCAATAATCATAGCTGTTTGGGTTTCTAGCATTGTACGTTGACGAATAACTCTAGCAATTCACATGTATGACAGTTATTAGGCAATCATTCGACAATCGTAATTCGGCTCATTTCGCTCTAGTGTCTCATTAGTATTGGGACTGACAAAGATACAGATCGCGTTCATTTCACTGCTGTTCTCGGTCATGGGTGCCCGTGTTCAATTATTGTTCAATGGTTTCGATCGTCCGAATCGATAAAGCCGTGTCTTGTAGGTGAATGTCTGATGTGATGTAGCAAAGTTTTGTTTTAGTGCTGGCTGTGAACCGATCTGTGGAATACACCGTGCATTGCATTATTGCAATGAAAAAAGTATTCTCCATACCCACTTTTCATGGCCTAAAATTGGTTTATTTCAAAAACAAAATGATCGATGAGATTCTGAATCAAAATATCTGGGTTTCTGTGAGGGAAGTTTTATTGACAATTCTCATCATAACTCCGAAGGAAGGGTAAATATAAGTATTCAACTTCTCATTTCTTAATAAATTCGTCAGTAATGCATATAGATGATATTTCTCCGAAAAAATCAATGAGTAATGTCAAAAAAATTCCACAGATACCCAAATATTTCAATTCAGAGACTAAACGTATTTTTTTGTTTTTTTGAAAACAATAACTTTGGATCATGAAAAGTGATAGTGTGGATAGGATATTTATTTTCATTGCAGTATTTCAAAGCACGGTTTCATAATGCATACCATCGAATAATGTTGATTAGATAAGGAAATATTGGGATAACTGTTGAAAATGAGCTATATTACAATAGCATGTCAAAATGTCAGGTTTCATGCAGATATCAGATAACTATAATAAAATGAGACGTATTACTGCGTTACCTCAAGATGGTTGTGCCAATAATAAAAACATGCTGTTTTATGTCGATAGTCTAATAACCACTGTAGAGTGGAGAGTTACTGCAACATTTTATGGGAATAATTCCTATTCGACATTCTGTGTTATCATAGAAACTAGAACAAGTAGTAGTTATTCAGCAGCGGTGTTTTTATACAAGTTTGCAAATTGAATAAGCTGCCATAACTACAAGTCACCTGAAAATTCACTTCATCTATGGTAGCAAATGAACACATCTGTCCCCTATTTATTGCAGATATCGTAATAACGGTTATCAGATTTCCAATTATGATAACTCTAGTTTTCTCTCAGTGCAGTACAGGGCTGTCCCAGATAGCTTCTTGACGGCTATCTGGTGCGAACCTGATCCAACGTAAACGCATCTCAGCATTTATACCATACGAGGCGTTCGACGTCTGCGAAATGAAAACGCGAACGCCGAACGCCACCTGGCAAGGAAAGAAACACTCCAAAACAAAATCCCATTTCAGGTGAAATGGGAGTGGCTGGTTGCCCGACTGGCGTATTTTCAACAGCCCTGTACTGATGAGAGCCAAGAGCTCGAAACCGGTCTGCAGGTAGTCAGCGTTCCTGAACCACTTAAGCGCAGCTCAGCGTTTAGGAAGGAAACACTTGCGATTTTATTCGTTTATACGAACTATCGCATAGGTTTCGGGAGGATGTAATGCAATGTTCTGCGTGGCATATAGCCAGGAAAGTAGTTGTTTTTCTCTCGTTATCTACCATTGTCGTTCATTTTATGAACTAGTTGTGGTAATGACTTTGAGTTTCTCTCTTTGTGACGAATGCATTCCACTTTGAGTATTTGGCTTTTTCCCTAGTTGTTTATATTTTACTCAATAGCTAAGAATCTCATTGTTGAATAGATACAAAAAAATTGAGAGAATCGGAGTTGTTCATAGTGATATAGATTTTTTTTGTTAGGTATGATGTCTATATGCCTTTGACATGCAGAACATTCATTTTCAAAAATGGAATACCCTGAATTGTGATGTGATGAGAACTCGACCTCCCTGCCGATTGATCGACGGATGACCCGGCAAAGCGTTGGGCATGTAACCAAGAGGTTGTGAGTTCGACTCTCACACGGGGCGGTGGAGTTTTTTCATTTTCCATTGTCACTCGAAATTAGGGCTTTCCATCTTCATCATTATATGTATCTTTTCGGTTGAGTAACCGACCAAAATTATGACTTGACTTCTATCATATGGAAGACGATACAGTACTTTTAAAGTCGGGATCCAGAGATTAAAGTCGGGATCCCGAGAATAAAGTCGTGGTTCGAGAAAAAAAAGTATAGTTGGCCCTTCAGCGCCTTCGAAACATACAAACATCAGATATGAAAACTTACCGGTACGACACCCAAATATTTGTAAGCGATAGCTTGTGCATGCGAGGGTGGCTGCTTCCAATGCCTGTGCGGATTGGGACATGCTCCTGGTATCGCAGTGTTTATCAGTGTGCACAATAGGGACCCGTCTGACCACAGTTCTGCTACACCCCCTGATAGGGTCTTCGAGGAATGCGACGACCATTTGGAGGGAAGTCTCTGGCAAGCCCATTTGATGAGTTTTTCTCGTTTGCTCAGTGATGGGCACAAAACTGGAAAGAGTCTACGTTGAGCAAGAGTTAATTAATCAATTGACAATGTGATAATTTCAGTATTCGGTGATTATTTTGATTTGCGAAGGCTTCCATACATTCGCTCAGTGAAGGACATAAGACTTTGAGCACAATTAATTCACAAATCAATTGATGTTTGGAAGAAGTTCATGGTAACTCGAGGTGGAGTGGTGTAGTTCATAGATAAAAACCCAAAGTCATCTCCACAACATTCATTAGAATGATCAAAGATCAATCGTGTTTCGGGCTCATATATAAGCCATAATATTTTTTATTGGCTGATGATGGGCTCTTATAAGAGCCCGAAACATGTTCCTTTACGATTGATCTTTGATCATTCTAATAAACAACATTTATGATGACTTTGGATTTTCATCTATATGAATCTATTAATGTTTCAGGTGAATACTTATTCCGGATTTAGTCGAAAAATCTCAGACAAGCCATATGAGGCTTCCTTGCTTCTTTACAGTGATAGATAAAAAACTTCAATCCATGATGAGGATAAGGAAGGCTTAGAACGGACATGCAACATTTTTTATGTTAATTTCTAGTTTGATCTCGAATTCAGTAGGTACTAATTTCAATTAAGTTATAACTCGAAATAAGTACATGGTATCCCTAAATTTCCTATATTCCTATACAAGCGATATCTTTTGAGATATAGGGTGTTGAAATTTAGGGAAGAAAGTGAGTTAGTTATCATAATTTTTTATCACTCAGATATTCTTATAACATTTTGTACACACCTTTTCATCATTAAGGAGCATTTTTTGACTCGAAAGATTTTTCGAAATTTCCACCAGTGACGTATTTTTGTAATCCCCATTTATTATGGAGAAACATTGTTTCCTAGACTTACTTTCTTACGACGTACCGTTTTTGCGTAAAAAAAAATAAAAACAAAAAAACATTTTTCTCTAGTTCATTGAGATATTTTTTGGTATTTTGTAAAAATTAAGTAGGCACCCACTATGAGTGAAAACACATTTTGTTTCGAGACGAAAATCAATTTTTTGCTTTCACCAGTGATGTTTACATAGGCCTGATATTGAATGTTTTGATTAAAAAAAAACTGCGTTCGCCTCCGATTTTAACACCCTGTAGCTCAAAAACTAATATAAGAGGTTTAGGACATATGTTGTTATGAAATGTCCTCCTCAAAATCATCCAAGGAATCACAAAGTGCATTATCGGCACTCAATTAATTAACAGCCTGATGTATATAGTTACTACACACATTAGTATTGAATACCGCAACACAATATGAAATTCAGAACACGTAGACCGATTGAAATTAAGTATAGTTTATCCAAAGACAAACATCTTGTTTTTCATATTTGGAAAGTATTCGCTGAGGTCATCAGATTTTTATTTTTTGTCCAGCCCTGTACACAACCCTCTGTGATTGCGAATGGTATTATATACCTAATCTCCTCATCTTCACAGGCTTTCCTGAAGAGTACAATTTCTCAATAGCTTCAGTTGGTATCCACTGGATTGTTATAATATATTATTGCACCAAGGATGAAAAACTGTCTATTATAGTCGAGCCTGCAAGCAGGCGAGACAGTTTTTCGCCGACCTCTACAAAAAATTACTAATACAATACAATGATTTGACAAAGAATGTCAAATTAGTCAACCATCATCTATGGAACTTTTCCTCCGATTGGCAGCAAATATTAATTTTGCTGACACATATCAATCAGCAAAGTATTACTTTTCCTGCCTAGGCAGCAAAGTGGTTACTTTGCTGATCGATATGTATCAGCAAAATTGAAAATCCATAAATCGTTTATAATTTCCTTCATATTTCATCCGAGACTTCTCCGGCAATAAATTCAACTCTATATTTTTTGCCACCTCCCTTTTTTAATGGAGGTGTAAGTATACTTCCAGGTCGCTATCACTGTCCATTATATAATAATTTAAATATACCGATATTTTTTCGCACAACTGTCAGAAATTTCATGAATTGTCAAACCAACAACTGCGATTTCTATCAAATTTCATTTTAATTGAACACTATACAGGAAGAATAAAGAGATTGTGGGAATTGTATTAATTCGCAAATACAATATTCTCCCATATCATTATGAACAATCGGAGAAAAAAATTATATGTTCAACTCGGCAGCAAAGTAGATTGACTGCCGAGGCTGAATTCATAGCCGAGCGTAGCGAGCCTAGTTAAACAAATAATACTATTTTGTCAATCTATTTTATTTATATATATTATATGTTTTCTTCTTGCGCTAATTTTATATAATATTTCATGTTATACCACTTTTCATTTATGTTCATTTATACTAACATTTTTGTTCATTCGATGTTTTATAGTAAGTCTTGATAAAGAAGATAAACATTTTCGAAAGCTCGACAAATAAAACGAAGAAATCGAACTGATATTGGTCACAACGACATGCCACTAATATTCTCCAGAATATGCGTACATACATACATACAGGTGAAGCTAATAGAAGAGTGTTGAAATAAAATGAGTGCGGACGAAAAGTATCTGCGGACAAAAAATACTTGTCTCCATATAGAGTTGATTACATTTTTTCATGGAACTAGTTAGTGTATTATGTTCAATAATGTTTCTTCTTTTCGTAGAAACACTCTCGATAAAAACATTCTTATATATAATGTAGGAAAATATATTGAATTGTTTTCTCAATATCGAATAATGTATTTTTATATACTGAATAAATTGATAATAAATAAAGAGATGGAAAATCCCTGAAACCTACATTATGCTTTCTACTTGAAAATACATTTCAATTCGCAGCACACCATTTGTATGTAAATAATCAAAATACCACGATAAAATAATAATTCCGGATAGTAACTATAGTATTGTGATATCTTGAGTAGTTTTATAGTTCAGTATATGAAACAATGGTCATCAAAGCTTCACTTTATCACCTTCATGTATTTTATTTATTCTAATTTCGGAAAATCGAAGGTCACTAATTATTCACAATCATTATACATAGATCACAACAAATTCCGACTGTCCATAGCCATCGCAAAACATACAATAAATAAATATCTGATCCTTCAACTCTCAACAGATCTGCGACCGTATTGAATTTCTATCAAAAAATACCTACCGAGCAAGAGAATCTAATCATTATGTCTTCAATTGAACAACTGTTATTTTAATATGCTCCAGTTATCATTATAAAAACACTATAAGCGATCGAAAGTTCATTCATTAAATTGTTCACTTCAGATAAATGCGTTATAGAGTGGTGAAATTATCCACAAACATAAAGATTTGAACGAAAATAAAAAGTCTTTACCCATACCTGATATAATTTATGATCAATAGATAGGTAGATGTTATGCAAATATGTGTACATGGTCGAAAAAAATCACATCAGCATCAAGATCATAATACACAATGAGCATCATGTGCCTTGCTGTGGTTTCAAATAATAATATGTCAGCACTCCTTCAATGAAGGCTTGAGATGTGAACTTTGGTAGAATAGAAGACCATTTTCAGGTAGATATGTGACACGTAATATAATGAAGTTATTCAAATACAGATAACAATACTAGAATGTTTCATTAGGATCAAAAGTGACACTTTGTTTGACAAGCAAATTTTGCATTTGCGAGGCGGAGCGTCTATAGCGAATGCTATTTTTACTGCAACCGAAAGAATTAACTGAAATAAATATGTGATGTAACCACCAATGTGAGTCACTTGACAGATAATTAAAATACCTTTTTCTACAAACGTCAAAAAATGACAAGGTTCGCGCATTGATAACAAATTGCGAAGTGACACTTTTTTCAGTTTCCTACGTTACCATGATTCCTTGCACAAAACAATGCGCGAAGTAAAACAGTGCGCGAAGTACCTACTTCGCGCATTGTTATGTAAAATAAATGAGATATTTATATTTCAACTTTATGGTCCTCATTCGTGCAGACATCCACAAAATCATTTATTTCTGAATGTTCAACAATTACTTTGTTTTTTCTCTTGGAGCGCACGAAAGGAAATTCCTATTATGTTCGTGGAACATCGTGCGTACCTAGGGAGGATAGGGGGAGACCTATCAAGCCAGTTCAACATTATTTTTTATATCAAGTTAAGCATATTTTTACTTTAGAACTATATTTTTTGACGTTTGTAGAAAAAATTTTGTTTGCAACTCGAGCGCGAAATACTTTGGTCATCTCGACTATTTTTTTACCTCGGCTACGCCTCGTTAAAAAAATCAGATCTCGATCACCAAAGTAGCATTTCGCGCTCTAGATACAAAAATAACTATTATCATTATAATAATCTGAGTAAGTAGATAGAAGTAAGACCTCAGACAGGTTTATTCAATTTTCTAGGATGTTCGAATTGTAGTTTCAATATCAATACCACCACAGAGTGGCCCATTTGTGTATTCTATTGAATCGATTAATTCATTTGGACTAGGTGTCAGCCCTAATAGCAAATACCGCGCCAGTGCCAGGTATGGGAAAAAGAAGTGGAAAATGTTAGGTTTGTGAGCATATCAGCATATCAAAAATAATAATGGCGATTATTTATTTCTCTCCATATTCCACTCTGTGTTTGGCTCGGTAATCAAATGGAGGTGTACAGTATCGTTGTGTGAGACAAAAAGTATTGCTGGCCGTGATTATTGAAAAACAAGTTCTCCAATCAATCAGATACCGAGAATAACAAATGAAATACAGATCAAGCAAGTATGTGAAAGTTGAACTTCAGCTTTTATAGGAACTCAAAGTGTTGCCTAGCAACATACCTATGTTTGTGTCAGTAATAGAAACGTCAATTCAAGAGCTAATTTTGGTATTAAAATGGACGACTTTTGTGTCGGTTGCAAAAAAAATTGTATCACTACTTCTCAAGGTTTTTATGCTCGTGCTCAGTTGATTGTATATTTTATTGCTAAAATCAATTAACTTCAACATGATTATATGCATAGGTAATGTGCCGTTTTAGATAAGTTGATCTATTGAGCTTTCCTCTTTTGTATTCATAGTTATTGTGAAAATTATTTTAACTAGCATGAAAATATCATTGGAAACTTCTAAATCACAAACAAGAATTAAATTTTCAATATGAAATAATTCGTATACATGTTAGAGCCACATGAATTAGAATTCCAATATCTGGAAAAATACAATTCCATACGTGAAAATTAAAAGTTGAAGTTACTTCACACATGAACCGAATGTAATCGAAATATGGGTATGAATAATTTCATTTCGTTTCCTTGAACAATTGGAAATTTATAGTTAGGAATGCCGGAATAACTATACAGAATGTTTCTGAAAATGGACGATTTACGAAATAATTATCGAAAATATAAGACGAAATTGAGGTAGTTTTGTTGATACAACAATTGTTATTTATTATACAAGGAAAAAAGTTGTACATTTTAGCTCGAGGTTGTGTTGTCTTCCGACGCGTAGTGGAGGGAGAAAAAATCCGTGATAATATCTTCCCTGTGTATAATATACTATTTTTCGATGTAACTGGACAAAGGACGAATCAGTATTGAGAAGATATTACATTATATTAAAATCAGAAAATTATCGACATGAAACTTGAAGTTTTTAACAGGAAAAACACCTGCGTTGCAGGCATCTTTATCATTCATTTGAAGTAATCAAATATCTGTCTGATACTGTGTTTTAATTTGAAAAAATTGCGAACTTAGTGGTTGTTTAGGAATATTAAGTAACCGCGAGAAGTGGAATGAAAGATAAAAGGTCTTTCTCGGAGATGGTGTAATTTTTCGGAAGTAGCACAACAAAAGCCATCTACTATGTGTATTGTATATATCCGGGAAATGAGTACTCACTTTTTTCCCGTGGAAAATTATAGTTGAAAGATATGGTATTTGGTGCGAGAGAACATTTGAAACAAAAATTAAGAATTTTTTTTGTCGTGCTCCATTTAATTCATCGTACCAATTTCAAAAATACCCAGTATATATGAACTTTATATTTACCTCAAAAATTGCAATTTACCAGTACAGTGCTGTTCGATTACACTCACCGGATATACAGTTTCTATCTATCTGAACGAGTAATCGAGGAAAGATATGCTTCCTCCCAAAAAGTAGGAAGCCTAGTCCGGCCACTGGTAGAAGTAGGTGAAAGGAAACTGAAAATCGTTCGCTCCAATATTGCTGTTGCATACTTTCTGGCCTATTTTCCGACGACACATAATCTGAAAACAAAAATTTCAATACAATACATATTGTTAAAACATTTCATCAGGTATATAGGGATGTTCTTTTATTCACCGGTGGCTCCATCAATCCACCAACTGCGTTCATATATTCGTTGGTGGATTCGAGTTTGACGTAACCACTCGTTCATTTATTTATTACTGTTGTGTCAACCAAAATTGCAAACCATTCCACCGATGTACAGAGATGGCGGACACATTTTGGTGGCTTCCGAAATTACAGCGACAGCATAACCTCAAAAAACTAATAACAAAATATTTGATTTGAAAGCTTTTCCTGAGAGGATATATGGATGAATTAATCGAAATCAGCTTAAAATATGAAGACAAAAGAATAGCTGCATTATTGACTCCAACAAAAATTGAAGAAAATTCGAGTGGTAGGTATTCTAATTTTTTCTTTCCCATCCTGAATTCCAAGAAATTAGTGCGAACATTTAATAAACTTGAGTACCAACAGAAAATTCTATTCAATAACTACCATCATAATTTTAATGCAATGTATATTTAGGATAGTGAGGATCTCATCGTCTACTCCCCAACATTAACAATATTTCATCCTCTGAACTATCAGAAGAGCTGCTAGAACTTCTGGATCTGGAGACAAGGACACTTTTAATAAATTATTTTCCATTTTCCATTAGTTTTCGCCAATTCTGAGCTTCTAATTGGAAACAATCTAAATATCCATCAAATCACGAAAAGAAAAATAAATAAAAAAACAGTTGTGATTGTCATGTCAAATAACTGCGTTTTTTTCAACACTGATAACTCCAACAATTCGATGCATCAAAGAGTGACGTCACTTCCATCAATGATGAAAATGTGGTGAAAAAAAGAACATGCCTTTTATCTATTAATTGCTAAGCGGGTTCGCACGAATTGTACTATCGAGCGTATACGCCCGTATTCGCGATACAGTAACAAACATATACAATAATACCCCAGAAAACTATTTTGGTCGGCCTTATACTGGCCAGAATTGGTCAGAACGGCATAATTCCCGTTAACATTGATGGGCCAGTATCAATAGGAGACTCTAGCCGTCATCAGGGCCAGTACATGTCTGCCGATACATTCAAATAATCAAAAGACAAAACGACGTCACGGGATTCGAACCCCGGTCCTTCGGTTACAAATCGAACTTATTCCAAACCCACTAAGCTAATTTATAAGCCATGTTGATGCAAGGTTGTAGCAATTACTGAAACGAACGTTTAGCAATATTGCAAATGTTAATTTGTAAATGTAACGTTCCAGCAATGTCACAGCAACATGTAATATTGCTGCAACGCTACATTATCAAACTTTACCTTTGCAATATTTTTACAGAATATTCCAAGAATGCTTTCCTTCTTGAGATTTCCTTCACAGTTTGCTCCGGAAATATCCAAGCATCCCGCTTGGAATGGACACATACATATCTCATTCTATACGAAAAGATATCATCACTTTCGAAACCCTGGTTTAACAAGAACTGTTCTAGAGCTGTTTCATTGGAACAAACAGCCTGCCATCGCTATCGCAAAATCCCTAACTTCGTGACTAGAGCAGAATATGTTGAAGCCAAGAATAACTGCAGCCAAACACTATAGATGCATGGTGCATCAAAAGAATCATACAATGCAAAAATGAGATCGAAATTCATAGATTCTCTCGATGACTCGCGTTCTTTTGGTCCATCGCTGAAGCAGTCGAAAGGAATTTCACTAATAGTTCATTCCCACCATTCTCCAACGCCGACGGCATATCAGAAACAACGGCATCGCAAGAGAAAGCGAAAATTTTTGCAGAGATGTTCGCAGAAAAGTCTACCATAGACTCCCAGGGAAGAGTGCCGCCAGACATTCCACCCGTTGAAAGTCTCCCATTATTCTCAAAGTGTGCACCAAAATTGACACCGATTCTCTGCAAGTTATATACCATCTCGTACAAGTCGGATATTTTTCCATCTTGCTGGAAAATAGCTAGAGTCCAACCACCCAAAAGGGGAAAGGGGAAAGGCTTCCCAACAACTATTGTGTTGCCGTACAGCAATACCACTCGTGAACAATAAAGTGACAGAATTATCTTCGAATATTCAGAACATCGTGATATTACTGCGGTGAAAATTCCTATCTGATCCTACTGAAAAACTCGCTCATCAAACTTTCAATCAGGTATTCGTCACCCTCTGTGAATTTCTGATATAGGTAGGTCAGAAAATGGCCTTCAGTCGGGAGGTTTTCAGCAAACCCACAGTATAACATGAATATGGATTTACACCCTACCTACTTCATGTATGGCATTATACGCCTCGATACGTGTTTCGCTAACTAGGTTAGCATCTTCAGGAGAAGAATGAAACTGAGGTACACTGGATAAATAGCTATCATGCATTCTATGGATTCTGGCGTTGATTGATATATTATGCTTATTCTCAATATATCAATCAACGATTCTGGAGAAGTAGGTATGTAAATTCTTGCTATCAGAAAAATCTTATCTGTGATATCAACAAATACCTCTACTACGTAGTAGTAGTATAGATACCTACATCTGCCAAGAAAGTGAGTAGGCGTTAGATAGCATTAAGTAGGTAGTGTTTATTATTGTAATATTCTTCATATAAAAAATTTCTTTCGAAAATACAGCGTGTCTCGCTTAAAACGCCTCCGTCCCTTGTATATCTCAGCTATATATTAGTCGTGCGATTCCTTACAAATTTTGACCGCTATGAATAACCATGAAATGTAATCAGGTTTTCAGAGACGAGCCGTATTTTGTACAGTGCCGTGCGTTTCTATCAAATTGAAAAAGGGTCAATGTATTATGAAATCATATCAGTAATTATTCTACAGGAAAACTGAACTAATATTTTTGCGAGGCAGTACTTATAGTATAACTACTGATAATACAAGTTGTCTTTGGCTTGTGATTGGTATGTCTATGTGAGAATTTCGAGATGTGTGAAATAGTCAACAGTAATGTCACGGATGTTCTGAATATTCGAGATAATTCTGTCGCTTTATTTTTTCACGAAATTGTGTACGGCAACTTGAGTTAAAAATGAGATACAACATTACTTAAAGATATTCTGAACAGCGAATGGTATTTTGCTAGACGATTTCACGAAGCATTAGAAGCATTTATTTATTATTAAATGAACAAACCATATAACCAGAGCGCTCCATTCTGACATCTACAGCTATTATTATATTATGTCAAACGGACATAGGTAATTTCCTCTGCTATTATTCATGGTTACATCGTTGAAAACACCAATGCTTATATAGACCAACTAGAATTGAAAGACAGCTAGTGTTTTCGCGATAATACAAGTTGTCTTTGGCTTTTGATTATCCAGATTATATGAAAAGTTTAAGATGAGTGAAATGGTGAATAATTACCTATCTAAAGTGTGTTATTGGAATTCCATTATAGACCGAATATTATGCCATAATAATGTCGGGGAAAATAAATATGGGATGCGACGATTATTTAATTATTATTATTTATTCCAAAAGTTGTAGAATTAGTAATGAAAGATAGACTTCAATTTCTTGAAGGGGGGAAGGACAAAACGATATGGTTTCCGATTATTATACGATCCACAACTCAGGCTTTGACATTGTTCACACCAGTTCACACTGTTGAAAAAAATAAGGACTACCAACGCAAGTCACTGTCGAAAGCTTTCGACGAATCGCACAGCATTTATTACCCTCAAAATTAGAAAAACACAGAATTGGAGGATCATGCAGCGTTCAATCTGTTGGAATCCTTTCTCAAAAATAGAAGAGAATATATAATATACAACGATTTGAAATCAGATATTGAAAAAAATAAGCATGGAGTACCTCAAGGATCTATCTTGGGACCGTTGCTGTTCATTATATTTATGAGGATCTACCCACATATGACAAATTGACACACACACACACACACATTGACAAAGCTGATACCTTTTCGTTTGCAGATGATGAAACGTTTGTAATGAGTAACAAAGATGATGATAAACTTAATGAGATGTCATTAGCGACAATGGCTAAAGGTGGGACATATTTCAATGAGTTGTGTCTAAATAAAAATAAAACTAAATGAATATCATTCACCAAAAGAACCGAAATGTGAAGAAGGTGTAAAATTATTAGGATTGCATTTAGATAATACGCTGACTTGGAAAACTCATTGTAGTGATCTATGCAAGAATCTTTCCAGAATTCGTTTTGCCCTGAGAAGGATGATAAGCCCAGAATCAAAAAAGGTTCTCAGAATAGCTCATTTTGGACTGATACAAAGTAAAATACAATATGGAATACTTCTATGGAGAGCATCAACTGCTGCAAATGAGATCTTCAAAATTAAAAAAAAATAGGGATATGTTTAAAGCAGATCCCAGCGAACCTGCTAAACCTTTTTTCATTTAATCCGAAATTCTCCCAATAGCTATAGTTTGTACATAATAGAAGCGATCATACTTGTTCATAATAACAAAAACAGGTATGATACTGGATCAATGATTCACAACCACAATACAAAAAATAAGGACCTGATTAGATTAATCAAAGTGAACTCGGTGGAAACTGATAGACAAACAGAATTATATTAATGTAAGATATAGGTATATGATACTCTCCCATTATCATGGATCAACTTACTTTGAAAAAATTGAAATGGTATGCTGAAAGGGCACTAGTGAGTCAAGCTTTCCATTCCATATCCGAAATTTTCAATTTCACATGGACCGATGACCACATCATAATATAATATAATAATCAAAGTATGCATAAAATAACATTTCAAATCATGAATTCAAATTTTGTGTAAAAAGATGCTATACACTGTGTCCGAGATTGGTGCTGCATGTACCTATTGCTATCTCGGTTATTATAAGAGCTACAAAGTCGGTTAAATGGACAATGTTTTTTCAGAATTCTATAATCATTTCAGGGCTGACATTGAATCTTTTCGATTATTTTTTGTTTTGGAAATAATCA